AGTTGATCCTCAGAGCTGGCTCTTAGACTGGTCCTTGGAGCGTCTCTCCCCCTCCGCCGCAGCGATCTCGTAAACCATCACGTTCTATACACAGTGTATAGAGCGTGAGGACGCCGTGGAACATTGCACTGCTACAGGGTAGGAGACAGGCTTCAGGGGGAAAGGTCACAGCCGGCCAGCTCGAAGAATCAGGTGAGTATATCTTTGTAATTTTCAGCCTTAGACCAAAACAAGCACTTAACCGTTGCAGTGTGGGGGCAGCCCATTGAAAGAGTTAATACATTTTTTTTTAACCTGGAGTTCTTCTTTAAATATCAGTTTTGGGCAAACTTTTGTTTGGACGTTCTGTGCATTAAAATAAATATTGTCCCCTTTCTAAACAATCCTCACAGAATTCCATGAATACAAAGACACAAAACTCCTCTGTGAATATTCATATCCAAAAATTCTATAGTAAGAGGTCCATTATTCTGTTCCATTGCTTAGCAATCTCTCTTTAAAATAGATATATCCCTGTTAACATACTGTTCTGGATACAATTGCCGTGCTGTTTTCCCTAGCCTTCTATGGAAATGTCTACTGAGTATCTCCATACTTGGGAGACAGCACCATAGAAGTCTTGGCAAATCGACTATGCAGGTGCGGCTAGCGAAATAATATTTTGGTCACAGGATATCAACATTTCAGTAGGTTCCTCTGAATTACAGATAAGCATATAACTGGGGTGAAGCAAATGTGCTAGGTCCAGGAAGGATAAGAGCAATTTAAGTGAAAGGGCACCTATCCTTTAAAACAAACAAAGCACTGCTCATCATCCTATCTTAGGTCTGTGGTTCCTACCTTTGAAAAGGGCAAGCAGTCCTTGTCAGCTTCCTTATCTTTAACTTCAAAGTCATAAAGTGCTTTGCATTGAGGCGGAGGTTGAGGTAAAGGCTTGATGATCTGCACAAAGTTAGTTGGGAAGAAGCCATGGACCCCATTGATTTCCCCATGGTACCAATTTTCATCCACTTGTCGGCGAAGCACAATGATGTCACCCTTGTTAAACTTCAGATCCCCGGGCTCTTTCCCTTCATAGTTGTACAAAGCTTTGGCACACGGTAATTGAGGTACACCCTGAAAAAAAGACACAATACCATTAAAATAATGTAGAAACTATCACAAACATCCCCAAAGCTTTAAAATGTTGTTTGAATTTACCGATGTTAATAGTTATGGGAAATGGAGTATGATACTGTCCTTCAAGATGCCTTCGTGTACATCAGGCCTCAATACACCATTCAGTAAGGCTACATTTTTACCTCTGTGTTTGTGTGCAGTGTGTTAAGGGGGTAAATGGTAGTCCAAAAATGCAATGAAGTGTGAATAGACACCTTGAAACAATGTTTGCAGTTCTATATGTATTGTTTACTACTCCCAAAAGTCTTTTCTGCATGACATCCATTTTTTTTAAATATTGTGATTTAAAATAATTTTTAAAATTATGATTACTTACAATATTACTACATTATAAAATAATTATTTATTAAGGCAGGTAAAGGTGTAAAACAATAGTTTATTACTAACTACTTTAGCATGACTTAAATGTGCACAAGTGATATTTTCTTTTTTGCAACTACACTACACACATACACAGTAATCAGGAATTGCCTTTTTTGCCAGGCCACATAGATTTAGCCATGTGGCACTACAACCACCATTCAGGGTGGCCAAGGAAAGGGTAGATGTCTCACCAAGAAATGCAGGTGGTGGAATATCATGAATGCAGGAGAACCCTTTACACGATATTGTGCAAACTGGCCAAAGGACAAATGCAATGCGAATGTCAAGTACTTCTACCTCCTTCTCGATACGAAGAGGGAAGGATTTTAAAAAATAAAAATAATAATGATTATTCATTTTATTATTATAGGTTTTATATAGCACCAACAGTTTGGGCCGTTTTACTCAATTAACACATAAAGAAGCATTTCTGATGAGTGTATCTGCTTACTTTTACCCTCATAGGATAGTCCTACTTGGCCTGATCTTTGCAGGCCATCAGTTTGGAAGCAGGATCAAAACATTTACAGCTAGCCTTAAGCTGGCCATACACAGGTTGAATTTCAGTCAAGTGTTGCTGATTCAACCGAAATTTGACCAGTGCATGACAGGTTGATTTTAAAAAGGAGCCGTTCTGAAAATCCATGGCCGAACAGTAACTGCAGTCGCTATATAAGTGGCACACCCAGCGCTGTCAGAATATAATAGCCTGGTGGCCAACAGCGGGGATGGGGGGGGGGAAAAATTAAGCATTTTTTTTCTTGTTCAGCCTATAATGCTGAATAAGAAAAATGACCAGCCTTAGGCAGAAGTCACGAAGAATGATGGGGCAGTGAGACTTAGGTCACCCTTAAACCCATCAAGACCTGCTAACCTGCTATACTGTAGCTTACACATGGGCTGGCATACCAAAGCAGCACATTAATGGTGAAATATTTCTGCCCCTTTTCACAATGAGAAATAGGGATGCATGGGTTTTGTTGCACAGAAATATTAAATATTCTATGTGTGACCAGTCATATTTACCCAGGATCCAATCCAAACACCAAAATACTTTGTTTTTATTCAATAAACAGCCTATGTTTGGTTATCATGATGCACATTTTTGATAAGTTAATATGATACAATATGTGGCACAATGAGAAGAGAACTTACATATCCATGTGCATTACAGCTAACTCCAGACAAATGGATAAATACAAAGATGGAATACTTTGACCGGAGCGCTTTTACCCGCCAAATACATTTTCTGTCCATCTTTCTTGAGAATTACACAGTTCATGAACTCACAGCAGCCAGGTGGAGGACATAGCACAGTTAAGGAATACAGTAGTGCCCACTCTTCACCCCCAGCCAGATGACTGGTCAGGGAAAGAGCAGCGGAAATCTGATGAAGTCATCCCACTGCAATGTTTCCAAAGAGCATGTTTCTGGCCAATACATTTACATGTGACACACCTAACTGGCTCCCACAATGGCACTATTTGCATTAAAAATACCTTTACTGATTAATTAATGCATTCAGAGCTGCATTCAACTGTGTCCATTCTATTTGCCTATAGTTCATCTTTCAGCAAGGATCACTGTGTTTATACTGTACGTACGTATATGTTGTAACAGATATAGCAGACGTGGCATCTAAAGGGGGCAGGTCTGACACTGAATCAGCAATGCTAGTGTCCGTCCCCTCACTACACTAGTGGAATAGAATTACGAAATTATTATGATATTAATATCTACAAGGCTGTCATACTTACAAGTTTATCATTTTTTCCAAGGCAATACTGTGTATACCAACTGTGGCAAATTAACAGTTTGAATTGGGGCCCAGAGGTATTCAGCTACACCTTTATACATTTTAGAACAAAGCACAAAACAAAATATGGAGCGCAGAGCTGCTCTCTCTACAAGACCTTGGAAATGAAACAAATGAATGTGCGTTGCACATGTTGACAATGTGTCCAAATTCATTGCATTTTGTGAATCACAGCTCCGCGGGCGGTGGTGTTAGTCTATAAACAAGGATCTGAGAAACAAACGTCCTTCTAGCTTTCAACAGTAAAGTATTTTCTTAATGAAGTACATGAGAAGCTGATCCGTTCCAGAGCCATAACTTGAAGAGGAATCATAAGAACAACTTCCCATATTCATTATTTTCACAGCATCTAAGCAGGCCTTCCAAATCCAGCAGCTGCCTCATTCGACAAATAGAGGAAGAGCCTGAACAATACAATAGCATCTCTTCAGTTCGAGTTTCCATATTTAGCTACAATTCCCTATGCAGTGCACAGAAAACAACCCTTTTAAATTACAAACAAAGGGGATTTGTTAAAAGGTTCACACTAGTCAAAATTAGGAAATTAAGCTTTGAATGGCAAATAGGGAGTACAACCTACTTTCCCAGTAAAAACAATTTCTTCAGGCATTCCCTTTTTATGGTAACCTGGGTTTTGTTAGGTAGGGGAAGTGTCTTTAAACACAACTGGAGGCTCTGTGCTGTCCACAACCACCTATAAAACATTTAATCCTGCCCATAGTGGAGTTTCTAACTTAAGCCGCATTTACACAGCGTTCAGCATAGCCAGGTGATTTAGAGGTGATTTTACTCATTTGTAGGGGTGTTTGAGTGTTTTTATGCACTACTTGCACAATCAAGCATTTTTGGACCCACGGACTTTTAAATGGGAACGGCCGCACGTGAATGCAAGACACATCAATGCCTGCGGTCCGGTCATAAAAAAATGCTGCAAGCACTTTTTTTTCTGACCAGACCGGACCGCAGGCATTGATGTGTCACGCGTTACCGTGCGGCCAATCGCATTGCGGCCGGAGGGCATGGCTGCGGTGCCATTCACTTCAATGCACCGCCATGCCCCCTCCTGCCCTACAACAAAGTGAGCCAGCTGCAATGCAATCCAGTGCGTTCTGGCCAAAATCAGGCCAGAGTGCACTGTGGCTCGTGTGAACTAGCCCTGAATGGGGCCTTACTGCTGCAAAGTTTGATGGCATAGACAGCATCTGCAGCTCACTGACTGCTTTAACTTGCTACCTGTATTTTTTCTTTAAAGACAATGTCTAAACACTATTTGCACGTGAAATGGATCTACATCACTGTTGGAAATTCCAATAAAATGTTCCCCTATATATATTAA